ATTTTCCCGGACATGTCCGGCTTTTCGGCAGTCAAACCCCTGTCCGGGGGGAATTGCCAAAAAGCCGAACATGTCCGGGAAAATGGCGGCTCTGTTTAAAAGCCGGGCTGCCTGAACGCTACCGGCTTCGGGCAGCCCCGTGCCTCCAGACCCTGCGCCCCCAGCCGGGCACTTCCCCTCCCGGGCTCTGGCGGCGCAGGGTCTGGAGGCACGGGGCTGCCCGAAGCCGGTAGCGTTCAGGCAGCCCGGCTTTTAAACAGAGCCGCCATTTTCCCGGACATGTCCGGCTTTTCGGCAGTCAAACCCCTGTCCGGGGGGAATTGCCAAAAAGCCGAACATGTCCGGGAAAATGGCGGCTCTGTCTAAGAGCCGGGCTGCCCGAGCGCTACCGGCTTCGGGCAGCCCCCCTGCCTCCAGACCCTGTGCCCCCAGCCGGGCACTTCCCCTCCCGGGCTCTGGTGGCGCAGGGTCTGGAGGCACGGGGCTGCCCGAAGCCGGTAGCGTTCAGGCAGCCCGGCTCTTAAACAGAGCCGCCATTTTCCCGGACATGTTCGGCTTTTTGGCAATTCCCCCCGGACAGGGGTTTGACTGCCGAAAAGCCGGACATGTCCGGGAAAAAGAGGACGTATGGTAACCCTATACAAGCATAACCTGTTGTTTTACATTCTGAATGAGTTCTCCTGTCTGGAAAATATTTACATATCAGTTTTGGCCCCAATAACTTACCAGTTGAATAATTTGCTACATCAGAAGTTGTTTTGTGTGGTCTAGGAGAGAACAGACAACAAGGAGTCAGGATTCCTGGTTTCTGTTGTGAGCCAGATATCCTGTGTGACATTGTCACTTCATCTCCGTGTCTGTTTCTCTATCTGTAAAACAAGGATAACAATGCTTACCTCCCAAGTAGTATTGTGAAACTCAGTTAATTGATATTTGTAAAGTACTTTGAGATCTTCTTATGAAAGATGCTATAGAAGTGCAAAATGTATTTTTTTTTTTTTTTTTAGTTTGAGAGATCAATGTGCATTTGAGAGACTCAGTGCGGACAGATTAAAGTCATGTTTATAGACATACTAGCTAGTTGTGGTCAACTTTTGATGTTGGAAACAAAATAATTAGTGCAGTTGTCGATGAAGAAATTGGCTGTGGATTAGTAGTTAGCTTTTAAGTAGAAAGGCACTGGGGTCATAGAGTTTGGAGCAGGAGCTGAGTTTTCCTAAAGTTCAAGTGTGTTCAGATTTGGTTTTGATTTGGGCCTGTCCCTACACCAAAATGTTCATTCCTACTTTTTTATTAGCCAGGCTTGTAAAACTAATGTGATGCATATGCCAGTGCAGCATCTGATTTTGCATGAGGCCTGGTGATTCAGTGTGAGCTTTTGGAAAGAGAGAACTCTCCAATATGCTGAGAGATGAACAGCCAGCTCAGATAATTTTAACAAACAAACATGATCTTTCTGACGCTCTGGAGATGGGTCTGACTCACTGTGTTTATTTCTAATTCATGTCAAAGCTAAGAATGATCCCTGATGAAGTACGTACCAGCTGCAACCTTGGCTGCACTAACCTCTACAGTGTGGGGCAGATCATTTCCTCTTAACATGTTTGTCATATGCTGGCCTCAGAAGAACTGTTTAGAGCATCTCTTTCTCTATTCATTATTCTTACTGCATTTCTTTGGGAAATGTTTACCTTGCTGGGTAATTCCAGGGCACTAAGGACCATGAACAACTGTGCATGCCAGGCCCATTGACATCAATTAACATCGCTATTGATGTCAACAGAGGTTGCACGCAAGAATCAAGAGTTGTATACCTGGCCCTAGGGGGACGTACGCTCTTTGCTCAGGTGAAACTGGATGTCCTACAAGTTTTCTACCAGGAGGTACTTTAATAAGGAAGGTTTAGCTCCTTGACCTTTTTGTAGAAAAATGCTTGCTTTGTAACTGGAGGAAGCATCAGAAAAACAATGAAAGGGGAAAAAATAAGTAGCATGGGTTTTAGAATACCCATCTAGTTAAAATCCAGGGATGGTACCAGTAGCTATTACTGAGCCCTGTTATTTGCTTTGTTTAAAAATGTTTATAAGTGTTCATTTTAAAAATGATAAATACAATGTAACTCTTATTTTCCTTGCTATGTCAGGTTAATTCTTGGGCTGGCTACCAGAGAATGTTGTATGGGTGTGTGACTCAAAGGGCAGAAGGATTTAAACTTTTTAAGACCCAGATTACCCCCTTCCATGGGCTTTACAATGAGAGAGGATCTTAAGGGAAAGAAATATCCCTGATGATCCCTTCAGAGTAGTTGGTCCAGTTGGTCTATCCAGGGGCAACCCTACATGCTCTCCCTCCCCCCCATTCCCACATGGAATAGGCGACTGCTCCCACCCCTAAACCTGCTAGATTTCAACCAGGCCAGGAACCAGCTGTGCAGAGGCACCATACATCTGCCATTGTTCCAGACCTGTGGTTTCTCCCCACTGCCCTGACCCAGACAACACATCTCCATTCATGCTTCTCTACACTCCTTCTGGTTGTGGCAATTCCCAGGCCTCAGAGCAGGGCTCCGGGGACAGGGGAGAGAGGGGGAAATAATTCAGTAGAACCTCGATTTCACAAACATCAATCTTACGAACAACCATCTTATATGAACCACTTTTCACGGCCAGGAATAAAGAACCTCCGTAACAATAGTGATGTTGATGAAGAACACATTGACATCCCTTCACATTCCAATGGCTTCAGTGCTTGGACTGAAGGACAAGAAGAAAGCCAAGCAGTCCGCCACCCTCCTACTTATGCACCATACCTACTCTAATTTTAGATGTTCAATTTTATGAACTGTTCGATTTTCTGAATTCAGTTCCCAATTAGTTCATAAAATAGGAGTTCTACTTTCTAGCCGTGGGTTGTATTTTTTTCCCCTGGGGAATCTCCACAAGGCCAAAGGGAGAACAGAGCCCCCAATCTTCCCACTCTTTCTCCCAGCCTGCCCAGCCCCTTCCCTCTCTGCATGGACCCCAGACTTGTGGAGTGCCCTCTGTTGTAATGGTGCTGTGGAAACTGCTGTGCAACAAGACTGATGTGCAGGAGAGGGGAGATCCATGCATGGATGTTCCCCTCTGTGTTCAGATACAGGGTGGGAGGAGGTGATTCATGCATATCAGAGTCTTGAGATAATGACGGAGACTATGAGAGTGTGACTGCTAATTTAGTAGGGCTTGCTGTTGGATGGTAGTGGTGACCTTCATTGCTGCAAATGTTGTACCATTACTCACCTTCTGATCTCTAGGTGTCTCATGTAGTCATACCCTCGTTTCTTCTGCAGATTCCCCTGGTGTTCCTCCCAGTGCCAATGCTCATCATCTTTTTAGAGGATTCAGCTTCATTGCATCCAGCTTGGTGCAAGAGCCTTCACAGCCAGATTTGCACAAAATCACAGTTCATCCAATTGTGCAGGTACTGACACTTTGCATTATACTTCACATTTGGTGAGCAGATATATAGCCGCATAGTACATTTTAAACTACATCAGTCAATCAGATTATCCATCCCATGTCTATTTACATACAGCCCGCAGTTTATCCACCCTAGTCTATTTACATACAGCCGGCAGAAGGTGCAAAAAGAAAGATATTCCAAAGGCTTTTAGTTTTACGTTCAACTTTCCTATTTACTGGCATAAAGAAAATGTCAATCACACAATTTAATTACTGAAACAAAGTGCACTTCTAAATACCTGACTATGAGCTGGCTCATGGGCATATGAATGGCCATACTAGGTCGGACCAGTGATCTGTCCGGATCAATATCCTGTCTTCCAAAAGTGACCGGTGCCAGATGCTTCAGAGGAAATAAACATAACAGGGAAATTTATCAAGTGATCCAATCCCTGTCATTGAGTCCCAGCTTCTGACAACCACAGAATCTGATGTACATCCATGACCATCTTGGTTAATAGCCATTGGTGGATTTATACTCCATGAACTTATATAATTCTTTTTAACCCTATTGTCGTTTTGGCCTTCACAACATCTCCTGGCAATGAGTTCCATAAGTTAACTGTGCATTCTGTGAAGACATACCCTTCCTCGTGTTTTTTTTTAAACCTGCTGCTTATTAATTTCATTGGGTGACCCCTGGTTCTTGTGTCATGTGATGGGGTAAATAACACTTCCTTATTCATTTTCTCCCCACCATTCATGATTTTATAGACCTCCATCAGATCTTCCCCTTAGTTGTCTCTTTTCTAAGATGAACAGTCCCAATCTTTTTAATCTCTCTTTGTATGAAAGTTGTTCCATCCCCCTAATAATTTTTGTTGCCCTTCTCTGTACTGTGTCCAATGCTAATATATCTTTTTTGAGATGCATCTACCAGAATGGCACGCAGTATTCAAGATGTGGGCATACCATGGATTTATATAGTGGCATTATGATATTTTCTGTCCTATTTTCGGATTTATTTATATATCCTTCACACGACACACAGTCAACCTGTGGAACTCATTGCCAGGGGATGTTGTGGAGGCCAAAACTATGATGGGATTCAAAAAAGAATTAGATAAGTTCATAGAGGGTAGGTCCGTCAATGGCTATTAGCCAAGTTGGTCAGGGATGCAACCCCACGCTCTGGGTGTCCTAGTCGCTGACTGCCAGAAGCTGGGAGTGGACAACAGAGGATGGGTCACTCAGGGGTGGCAGGTTTGTATAATTTTTCATGGTGCCCAGGACAGGTCCAAGTCCCCCCGCCCCACATGCCTTGTAAGGCGGCAAAAAACTTGGAGCCGGCCCTGTCTCCTTGGCTCTTTTGGGAATGGCAAAGAGAGTATCAGCTGTGTGTGAGGACTGTTTCTGCCCACTTACCCATCAGTGCAGATTTGCACGCAAACTAAAAGAACTCCACACACTTGAGTGAATAGCACTGTGACCACGTGAGTATTGCAGTCTTGCACACAAGGACTTTTCTGATGCACTTCATGGGGAGTGCCCCTGCTTATGGTATCCGCTTTCATCCTGCTAATATTCTGTGTGATACAATGTAGTATAATTTTTATATAGCTTGTTTTGTACAATAGTAGCACAGAACACTTCACAGGCAATTACTGAGGCTGGCCAAAAAACAAGAATTCCATTTTGAAAAAAAAATTGAGGATTCAGCATTAGGCTTCATTTCTCATTGGGCCAAAAATGAGACTTCAAAATTCTCTGTGAAAAACAAGACAGATAGACACAACTCCCAGAACAGCTAATATCTCAGTAGTTAGGGCACTCACTTGGCACGTGGGGGACCTAGATTCAAATCTCTCTACCTTAACCACCGTCCTATTGAGTCAGTCTCTCAATCTGTCCTGTTGGAGCTGTTCCACTTTGTATAAATACTTAAATATTCATTGGGCCAGAGAAAGAGTGTGATTAATTTCTAATGGGAATTGGATCTCCAAATCCCACATATGGCTAAAACCATCTCAGCCATTGTTTCTAGACATACAGTTGTAGTTTACTGAGGAAGAACACCAATAAGGAAGGAGATACATTTATTTAGAAAGTGGCCACAACTTCATTGAACTGAACTTAAATAATTTCTAAGGACAATGGATCCTTGGTAGATGTTTGGAGAGGGTGAGCTCAGCAGTCCCTTTATTGTCACTGGCCAGGATTCTTCTGTTTTTATGGTTCCATAATGCTTGTCTTTTGATTTCCCTTGTTTTGTCTTTCTCTACAGCAGTTACATGGGAACAATATTCATTTTACAGATGGATATGAGATCAAGGAGGACATAGGTGTTGGCTCCTATTCAGTATGCAAGAGGTGTGTGCATAAAGTAACAGAAGCAGAGTTTGCAGTGAAGGTAAGAAATCATCTTGGCAGATGCAAATATATGGTCAAGGCTGCTCCATTACATTGGGCATCAATCTGGCCACTGACTCGTTTGTTTTTTAGAAGGATTAGATGTTGAACTTTAAGGTTCATCCTTCTGATTTAACCTCAGCAAATGAAATTGCAGAAGGAAAGGACCTTTCATTCTCATACAGAATATCAATTCAGTCAGGTTTAGATTATTGTTAATCATTTCAGCCACTCTCCCTGCTACCTAGATAATAGATTTGAACCGGATCTAAATTGAAATAGCCCCCAAATGAAGAAAAAAATGTTGTGAAGTATACTCCTTATAAATGCAAACCACCTTTGTTTCTCATTCTCCAGGGTGTATTAAACTATGACACTTCCTTAGTATAATTAGAGATGTTTGGGAAAAGAAATATGCTGCACTATCATAGGCACCTATGATTAATCAGATTCCCTGCCCCTTCTGTCTCATTGGCATTCAGACACACTACCAACGCACAAAGGAGACCAATGGAGAGATCCAACAGAGAATTAAAATATTAATTAAATAGACTTCAGTTAGACATGAAAGAAAAAGCAAAGGACTTTACACTTGGTAGAGTAATACTCTGAAAACCAAGTCACAGTGCACAGCTGCAGCAAAGAAAGCCAGCAAGTTGCAAGGGTGTATAAAAAGGGAATTATTTTCTAATAGGAAATAATGGTCTTTCTGTATAATTCTTTGGTAAGGTCATATCTGGAGTATTAAGTTGCAGCATCTGTTGCCTGTATTAAATAAAGGATATGCAGGTATTAGAGAGAGCAGAGGATGAAACCCACAGGACTGGCTGATGGTCTGGAGGGTTTGTCTTTGGAGGAAAAGTTCCAAACATTAAACATGTTTAGCATCCTGAAGACAAATAGATACTAACAAAAAAGCTCATGTGTCAGAGAAGTAGACAATGACATGTTCTTTCAGCAAGAAAAGGGGATAATGCATGGTCGTGATTTGAAGCTGAAATCAATGGGACTATTTCCAGAGAGATCTGAGTCCTCAGTGTGACTTAGGGTAGTAGAATCAGGCCCAATGATCCTGTATTATCTAGTGGAAACTGGTGCATAAATAAACGTAAGGTAAAGGTGGATATTTACTTGAAATCAAATTGTGGTATGTAATTGAGTATGTTTGCTGAACTTGCAGTATATGAGAGACATCAGCAAATTACCTTTCTTCTGAATATTTACCTTTTCTAAGTTTCAAAATGGATTTGAAACTTAGTTTTGTTATAAATTGTGTCTTTGCAGGTGGGATAGGGAGATGAGAGTTTCATGATAATTGAGTTTGTTGAGGTAGCAGTTGATTAAGTACACAACCACATGCTGAAAAGGAGCGTGGACTTCTGTGTGAACTTCTGAGGTTTTCCATTTAAAGTGAATGGAGAAGTTACAATTTTCCAATGTCCACTGTTCTTGTCAACAGATGGTGCTGGGTTGTAGTAGGAATAATTTTACTTTAATGAAATTACATCTGTGCCTGCACAGAAACATGTTTTGAACCAAAAATGTATTTAATATTTTCTTAGTGTTAAATATTTTGATATCTTTGGTAGTAAGCATGAAAACAAAGCTCAAAGGGCTAGATGCCTTTAGGTATTACTAAGATCCTCAAAACCCCTGCTCAGCTGCCACTTAACTCTTTAGGTGCCTGAAGTTCCTTGGCAACTAAATTTCCATGTTAAAGTCCCCTAGGGACCTAGTTTCTGCCAGCGAGCATACACAGAGCCACCTTAATCTAGGTGCTCGGATGTCTATCAGATGCCTAAGTCCCATTGGGTTCCTCAAATTAAGCATTTCCCCCACCCTATGGGGCCCAAATCTGGGAGGTGTGCACAGAGCACACCTAACCCACACAAAAAGGCCAGAGGAGGTGATGGCAGTGTCCCCCTTATAGTAGCCCAGACATAGGAAACACCCAAGACATAGGAAAATCAGGTTCCGTTCTCTCCTCTGCCCAATGTGGAGCAGGGATTTGAACTTGAGTCTACTCCCTCTCAAGAGAGTGCCTTGACCTGCAGGATGTTCTGGGGTAGGCCTCACTCCTGTTGAAGCAGTTCCATTTTGTCTAAATAATTAAATGGTCCTTGGAGCGAGAGGATTGGAACCTCCAGTGAGTGCCCCAACCACCAGGCTAGAGAGTCATTCTCACTCTTTCTG